TGCGTGAATCAAGTGCTGTTTTAGTATTCGAACAGAACAGTGTATTACGTAAAAAAATAATTAGATTTATCAGCCGGAACAATTAAATTTATGCAGTGATAGTTTTAATCGAAATGTTAATATATTCATTTTTGAATTGTAGGCGCCTGATAGTAGTTGGCTGCTCTACATAGCCACCCACAAGCTGTATTTATTAATTTGTACTATCCATCAGTTGTGTTACCTCGTGACATATACAAAGTCGAATCGATCAGATACAGGGTGTTTCGTAAAAAACGAAAAATGCTTATTTTTAATAGACACTTATTGTAATACAAAGGTCGTTACGTAAGTTGTGGACAGTTCGTTGTCATTGAGAGTTTAGTAGAATTTCAGTTTCTATCCTTGGGCAACGCATTGTGAAATTAAATTTATTTGGTTGTTATAATGCAACTGGAAACTGTGTTGGGATATTTACTGATGCTAATAAACGGTATTTATACCAAGTGTATGTCGTAAAAATGCCGCCATGTAGGTATCTTATATTTTCTCACTCTTTCAAAGACTGTAAATTTTGATTTTTTTATTAACATCGAGTTTAGTATCACCTTAGAAAGTAATGTAATACTATTACTTCAGGTTAATAGAATATTTATGATAAATATATATTTAAATACATAATAGAATGCATATGTCAGGTGTATTGTTCACTTTTTTTTATAATATCGATTGGCGAAAGGTCTTATATATGAATAACACAATGCTATATTGTTAATTTAATTGATAATGCTTTTGAGTTAGCAGTAAATATCTAAACGCTCTTAATAAATTTGTTTTAATTTCTTGTTTTTGTTTTTTAGGTAAGTGTGGTAGCCATCCGTCATCTTTCCACACCATTAAATAGCAAAAATAATGAAATTTTCAATCCAACGTAAGTATTGTTTTTAATCTTATCATTTCTAAGGTCCCATAAATTCAATTTAATCAAGCACCAATATTTTAATTAGGCATATGTTATAAATCGTTCCAAAATACAGAATTAGTTTGTATTACTACAGGGTGTAGCATAACTTTTGTATCAACTTTCTAAAATTGTTTCAACGTGAGTCGTATTTTTTACATCATGTTTCTTATCACTCGTGATTTTATCAAGTGTTTGAACAGTTGATAAGTCACATTTATTTTCCTGTACGCACACACGGTGTGCAAACAGAGCTAGCTGATAAACCCATGTGTAATGTGTACCAATGGAAGTGTACATAAACTCGTAACGTGCATCGCCTACCCTTTAAAAAGCGTTCATACTTATAACAGAATGGTGTTATATAACAAAAGGGCATCGACATTTGAATGCCTTAAAAAAAAGACGTTAAAAAAAAAACAGTGAATTTCCTGTTTAACTGGTTTCATATAAAACAATTGCTCCAGGAAAAGTAATATACATATTGGTATTAAAAAATTGAATGTGTACTATTTACTGATTTGCCCCTGTATATTACGAAAACCTTACCAATGATGTCTAAAAAATGCAATATATAAAATAAAAATTGTCAACGTTTGAATTATAGAAACACACATCAATTTCTTTCACATGTTTATGCTTACGAATGTATGTACATACATCGTCGATATTCATTCGTATGGTTAATAAATAGCCTGATGTCATGATGACATGTTTTTCAGTTAATTTAAATTGAAAATACCGACAACTTGCCTAGTAGTACACTTCATAATAATTGCTGATGCCTTAGTTTTCTTTAACATCTTGTACTGCGCGTGCTATCTGTCTTATAAATAAATTTTGCGATATTTTTGTAAAAAATCCTAGTTAAATTTTGCTGTGGACTTTGTAGTGAAATATTTATTAAATGGTGATCTTAACTGCAGCAATTATTTATTAATCTACTATTTAATTAGTTGAAGTGTTTTTCTGTGAAGTGCTCACAAATTATTAATATTATCGTTGTTGGTTACTAATCTGTCTTGGATTGCAAATTGTAATTGTAAATTAATTTTCTGATTATTCTCCGTTTATTTTAGTATTCGATTTTTACTCTATCAGGCTAGTTCAGTTTTCGTGACATTTATCACGTTTTCAACGGTTAAACGGTGTTATTCATACTAAAATATACTTTAAATTGCACATTCATGCGCTTTTACGATTTCATCAAAACGAGATAGCTTTAATGTAATCATTACGACTACAAAGTTTTATTTATAGAATTCTACATAAATCATTTTGTAAAAGAACAGTTCTGTTATAAAGATATTGTATCTGCTTTTCATTTCCAAGTTTGAAAAATCAAGTCAAATGTAACTGCCTTAAAATCCGTATAATTTTTGCCTATAAATCCACCCTATTCCTATTTTGTTAGAGTGTACACGAATTGCTCCAGTTTTTAATTTCACTACACACCAATTTTTTTCTTTTAGAAATTTATTATAAATAAACTATTTTGTAATGTTTTAGACATTTTTCTGTCGCTAAACTTACTTTGGTCCCTGTTTGAAGTATCATTGTTTTACAATCACTCTGTGATAAAATCGCGCCTTCTATTGTTTCTTGCGGTTGTTGATAGTTGTATTTGCCAATTAAATAATGTGTAAAGTTGCTATCTTCGATCAACCAACTAACTAACTAACTATCTCTGCTGTAAATAAAACGGTCACTGCAGAATGCCTTCTTATTTCGTAATCACGACAAGTAATAAATCGAAGTGTTTTTTTGCACATTAAGAGTGAAAAAAAATAGTACATGTCGGAGCAATGAACGAGTTTATGTTACGCATATTATTTATACTTGTACCTGTTTTAAATAATAAGTAGATAAATAATTGCACCTCTGTCCTACGCATTTTGGGCGGTGGTAAATTGGTGTCTATGAATGTACATACGTACTTTGTACATGCAGAAGTGTATAGTCTCAGCGCGCCATGTATCACCGGCGGCGTTAAATTTTCAACTTATGTTAAGCAATTAATCAAAAAAGTCGTTCATTGAAAAAGTTAACCTGTCAATTACTATCCTTTTGAACCTGTGCGTGTCGCGGAATTCCAGACCTTCGACAAATAAAAACTAGCAGAACTTTGTGTACTTTCAGTTGTCACGCAACATGTACAGTTCAGTACAAAAAATATGAACAATTTAACGCATTTTAATGTTAATCATTCGTTGTTTAAAGAGTCAGATGTAACTGCATCAAAATCCGTGTAATTGTTGCCCATAAATCCGCTCTCCCGTTGTTTTTATTAAGGTACGCACGAATTCCACCCACTTTTGTGTTTCCCTTCACATCAATTCTTGCATGAGCGTTCTAATTATTATTTCAATGCGTACTGTATGTTGTTATAATTTTTAAGAGACTCTAATTTCGTTCGATTGCGTGGACTTGATGTGTTTGTAATAGAGAAGTACTAATTTACATAATGCTTATTTAGCATATTGTGTGAGTGTGGCTGGGAGCATGGTACGTTTGTTTATATGTGCGTATTTTGTTTGAAATCTATCTCTTGTGTATATGTAATGCTGTTGGACAAGGATTGGCGCCACATTCGTTTCATATAGATTGTGAATGCTAGTGGCGTTCGCTTGAAAACGATGTCAACGAGTTTGATATTGATTGATTGCCATTACGATTGATTCCACATTATACTTTTTTACCAAGGTTTCCCATTGGCCAAAGAAAATACACAAATAACGTCAGTGCATCAGATGTCAAAAAAAAAAACGGTTCATTCAGAAAGGCACTTTGGTAAAAATTCCATGTATCGTGAAATCACAATGGGCCGCAATAATTGTTTTAGCGTTATAAGTGCTTATTATGATTCCGAATGATAAAAAGTGTCCATTTTTGTTTTACAAGACGCCGCTCAGGTCCAATTATTTTATCCTGCTTCCCACATCAGAGCCATCAAGGTTTTGTCCTCTACAAGTTTTAAGAAATCATAGTAATTAGTTGCAGATCCCACGCAACAAATATAATATAGTCTCGATTGTAATAATGAATGTACACTACTGGACGAAAGTTCCGGTTCTCGAAATCTGGGCAATTGGAAAGATAAAAACTTATTTGGGCATTTAAAAATTGCTTGACAATTACTTTTATTGCTGTTAAATTCGTATTTTCAAAAATTGTAGACAGAAAAATTCACGTAATCAGATAATCTTTCTTATCTTTGAAGATTATTAGCCAAAATAAAATATCCGTATTACAGAAGATTAGATAGGTAAATTCTGATTTTTGAAATGGTTTTTGACAAAGTATTTGTTATTTTTACAAAGTTACTATCAGCAGTGCAAATGTTCGATAACTTTTGGACGGTATTGTAAGTTATTGGCGAATGAAGTAACATGTGCATTGAAGAGAGAGATAACAGGTGGGCGAATTCTTTTTTTCTGCCTTCGTTTCGCTATACAAGTACGTGCTATGTATGCAATCCATGTGGGCTTGAGAGAGTTATACCTCATGTGTATACCTGTGCCACTCACTCACTTTATAATCTTTCGCGGTCGGGAAGAATTAGTTGTCACAGAACTCGTACCGACCATATGACCGATTCGAACGCGATTATTTAACCCCCTGCGTGACCAGGGGTGCGTTTCTACGTTCGGGACGATGCCGAGGCTCGCGACTAGTGAGTGTGTAACTTTTTGAAAATTTTTACCTTCTGATGTATTGTCGTTTCTTTGTTTTGTGAAAGACGATGGATTTATTTTGTTCCTTTATGGCAAGTGCCGTTTTGAAGGACGATTTTCTCTTGTTTCTTTTTTTTTTGATGTTCTTTTGTTTTTATAATTAAACTTGCATATTAAGTACCTGCAGCATTTTCGTACCTTATATGGATTAGGTACTAATTAGTGACCACGTTGTGACGTACAAGGAAATTAGTACATAGCAAATGTAAAGCAGTAACAAATTTGCTTGCAGTAACTATTTCATCATTTTTTTATTATATTTTTTGGTATTTATATGANATGATGAAGTAATGCATGACACTAGATTGTGAGAATCTAATTAGGAATTTTTAAAAATTTCGCTGTTTTGTCGAATTTATCGATTAATTATTTTACATCACCCTGTATTTTACTCCTTCGTTTAATTTCTCTCTTCTTTTGTTTGCATAAGATTATTGTTAGTATTAAAAAGGAGACGAAAAGATTTGGAAGTGGTCTGATGGGTGAATTCACAATCGGCATCGTAAATTTTGCGTCTTTTTTCTCTTCTAATCGTTTTAATAGTATGTATGGTAGTGGTCCACCTCGACGATCGGCCCGTTTTTCTCTTTTTTTTTTTTATTTCGTTTTCATTATTCTTTTAATTGCCGAACGTTTGTGGCGTGGTGGTGGTGGGTGTGTTGTTGAGAGGTCGCCCAGGACTTCTCAGTTTGGGCAAAGAGTCAAGGTGATGTATCGAATTTCTCTCTCTCTGGTTTTGTTCGGAGGACAACAAAGGATTTCTCTCCTGTTTAGTATTTAGTTGTTGTTGAACTTCAAAATGCATAGCAGATGTGCTCCTCGTTTGAATACAAAAAAATTGCGAAAAAGTTTCATACCGAAACACATTGTACAGTAGAAATCGTTGAACTTTTTTTTTTCGAGTTTGTACAGTCTTAAACGAAAGTTTTTGGTCACAATTTTTCTTTTTTCAGTCGATTATTCTGAATGAGATATTTATAACAGCAGTGTGCATTTATTGTTACAAGTGATAGTGATTTGTTATTATAGAAAAAAAAACAATTAAAGTGTAAATATGGCGACCATGTGTTTTGGTCCTCCACCGTTACCACCGAACAAAAAGTCGCTTTATAGTAAGCGCAACCGAAAACACAGTCAGCCGTTTCTGTCGTCAACGTACCATAGTTTCCGCGATCCTATCGAAGAAAACGAAATAATCGCGATCACCCTGGACGACCCTCCTGAGACGCCGCTGTTTCTTCGCGCGAACGGTTCTATTAGAAATAATAAAAAACTCGCCCATTCTAACTCGTTGTGCAGACGTCACCAGCCCAAAATTTCGCTTGTGCGCAGTAGTTCCGATGGCCACTTGGACAAGAGGGGTAGAACATCTTCATTTGATGAAACGTCGTCCTCGTCTTCGCCCATGACGATCAATAAATACATTAAAATCCTAAGTGGAAGCTGGAAAAATCTGCTTAACTGTAAGTTTAAATACTGGCGAGTACACTATTCAATGTTTTCATTTTTTATTATAATATCTTGAAAAATACCCTTCGCCACACGGATACGCATGAACTATACTACTCCGAAAATTCTTTCGTTCTTAAAAAGTTAGTTTGCTGCGACCATGTTTATTTTATGACAGACGCCCGGTATATATAGGTATGCATGACATTGGTCAAAGTTCAAAAATATGATAAATTTTGGGTTAAAGAAATTTTCTGTTTTCCCAAAATTATTCTGCCACATGATAGAGTATGAACAATACTATTGCGAAATGAATGTGTTATTGAAAATTTAGTATGTTATGATTGTCTTTTTTTTATAACAGACACCCTGTATGATATCGTTTATCACATTCCAAAATCAGTGAAATTGAAGTTTGTTGAAGAAAATTTCTGTATTTCTTCAAAATCATTCTGCCACATGGTATCGTGTGAACTATACTATTGCAAAACACATTTGTTATTTTATAATCATGGCATACTTAAAGTTTAGTTATTCATGAAAAGAAATGCTGTACTTTATAATGTCACTACGACTTTTTTGTTTAACAACACCCTATACACGGGCATGTATTACATCGATCAAAGTTCAAAAACACGACGTGCTTTTATAAGCTTTTTTCCATTTCTCCTAAACTAGTGATTAATTTTGAGTTACTATTAATTTCACACGTTCTACTTAAAAACTCTATTAGATGAACGTTTATTTTAGTTGTTTTTTTTTTCTTAATAAGCACATGTTCGGTGTTCGGAGGCTGCGATCTGAAAGATCCAGATGAGATGAGTTTTTTGTGTTCGATGCGTTAACGCAAATCATTGCTTTAGATGTACAGTTGCGGCCAAATAAAGTGAACACGTTCGGGTTACAATTTTGCCACTGTTCTTTTCTTATACTAAAACGGGCGCAAATTGGCAAATAATTAAGTAGCTTTCGATTCATTTAAAGACATTATAGTTGTCCAATAGTACATTAAGTTCATGGTTAGTTATTGGAGTAGTTAGTCCAATTATTTTGGGCATGAAGTGTACACTCGTTAATACTTATATGTATAATATATCGTTCTGCTCGATGAATTTGCCAATTTTTTATCCGATATTTTTTGTCGTTGAACCCGAGTTTGTTGTGGAGCTATAAAGCTTCTTTATGACATCACCGTTAGTTTCCCGATCACTTCTCTCTTGGCCAGTTACAGCCGGGATGTCAAAGGTTGTAAAGCACATACATTTATACGTGGTTGATTGTATGTATGTATGTAGCTTTTTGTGTCCGTATGTGTAAATAAAAAAATCGTAAAATATTTCCAAATAATAATAAAAATCGGTTCGTGTATTATCGAGTACAGATGATATGAAATTCGTTGTTTTTAGTAGTTCCAATAGGAGTTAATGAACTTCGATTATATTATCGAAAATAAAAGGAACATTTAATGGTGAAGCTTCGCTCTATGTGTATGTCACAATAGATTATTTTATGGTCAGCAGCTACTTACATTACAGGTACGATGTTATCAACTTGTTCGTTTGATGCAATTAATTGTAGAATAATTGGTCCAAATTTAAAAGGGTGGGTGTGTGGGGGTCGAGTGGGGTTTAGATCACAGAGTTTTGATAAAAATTATCTTTTATCGTTCGTGTTGAAGGTATACATCCATAAATTTTACATAGATGTACAGTACATAGTGTAAGTATATAAATTAAAATAGTTGAGCTGCCGGAACCGACATTTGGCGCCTCTGTCCTTAATAAACCGGCGCTGCCTTTTGCCTAGTCTCCTTTCCACATTGTAATATGTCCCAAGGGCATTACGCTTCGAAACTGCGTTTAATGTCAGCTAATAAACGTTAGACCAACATATACGTACAACCAGTGATTGACACCCTGTGTTAAGTTCGTATCTACACATACGTGTTTGCATTTATAAATAAATATATATATANAAACGAGACTCGTGTAAAGTTATTTGGCTTAAGCTGTGCATGTTTGTGTAAGGATGTGGTGGTGCACGCCATGAATTTTTTTTAGTTATAGAAAAAAAGTGGCCAAAAATGTTTTTGTATCTGAATTAATCGTAACATAATTATTATTGCTACACCCTGTATTTATTTTGCAGCAGAAGTGACAAACCAAATAAATACGTTCTCAACTGCTGCCAAGAAGCGCTTATTTTTCTTCCTTCGGGGGCGTTTTAACTGTATTATCGATCACTACTATGTAAATTTACTATATTATTTTTCTCTAGAAACCGCCTCGTAGATCACCACCGAGACATAGGGGACAATTGTGATATTCAGAGATTGCCAAAAACGGTTGAATCACTACCGTTACGTGTTTCTGGATTCACTTCATTATTTTTGCACAACACTGTACATGCACTTTTTTATCGGCAGTAATGAATTTGTAATTGATTACTATTGGTTCATTTAATTAATATGTATAATGTGTGTGTGTTACATTGGTGTTTGTCTTGCTGTTGTTAAGGAATATTAATTTATTTTCGTTTTACAGTAGGCGGCATGTCTCGGCCTCCAAAGCCGGCGGCAACCGCAAAGAAAGTCGCTCCTCCAGCCGTACCCCATGAGTTCCGACACTCGGGGAGTTCCTTCGGGTCAGCGGGATACTCCTCGTCAGAAGATGCCGTCTTCTTGGTTCCCACAGACCCACCAGGTGTGCCTAGAGGTAAGAGATATCCAAACTCTTAGTTTTAAATCGTAATCAATGTTCATGTCTCATATGTACTTAGATGATCACTCGGACTATGGTAGTACCGTTAGCAGTGGCACGGGTAAATCCCCGGGACCAGTCTACCCGGCTCCTAGCTTTACATTCCCGGGCCAGCCACCGCCGCCCGGCAATCTCATCACCCATCAGAAAGCTGTCTACTACCACCATCAACTTAGTCTTCAAGAGGACCAGGGTATCGACATGACGCAAGTAAGTAGCATCATCATCATAAGGTCGTCAGTCCTAAGACTGGTTGGACACGCATTTACACTCCTTCCTATCTTGAGCTAATCTTCGCATTTCCCTAAAGCTAGAACAACCCTCATCCTTAACTATTTGCGAACAGTAATCTAATCTAGGTCTACCTCTACCCCTCCTTAACTTCAGTTTCTGCCTCTAATATGGTTCTGACTAGACCTTCATGTCTGAGAAGATGTCCTACCAACCTATCTCGCCTATTCCTTATTTACTTCTATAGAGTCCTCTGTTCTCTTATTCTTCCTAATACCTCTTCATTTCTAACTTTCCCTATCCACGATATCTTCATCATTCGCCTGCAACACCACATTTTAAATATTCCAACTCATTGATGACATCCCTCGACGTAGTCCCTGCCAGGACATCCGAATGGGGGACTACTTAACGTCTGGAGTGCTTTACGTCACAGGAAGCCATCATTAAGTTTCGGTGAATTGTACTTGGGATATCATAATGTGGTGGTTTCCTTGCCTTCCACATTGCAGTATTGTGCATCGGAGTGCCATACCGATCCTCGTGATCTCTGCCTCCCTGAGTACTGAAAGAGCTGCTTCCCTCTTTCAGGGACTTATCTTAGTCTGGTTTCTGTTTAAGAACCCCCCCCCCAACATACTGNTTATAGAATGTACCGAAATTTTAATTATTCTACATGACTTTTATTTATTTTCATACAGTACTGATCTGTCAGTACCGCTTCCATTTTATTTAAAGCTAAAGTAAGTAGCAACATCTTTTTTTTATTCGTGTATATGTCTATCTTACGGTATGTTTGTTTAGTCACCAGGTAGGGATAGTCCGGGATCGTCCAGTGGTAGCGCGGGTTCCGGTTCGAGACATAGTACTGCTTCGTTGGACAGCGGTAGGGCTTCGTACCATCCATTGAGTAACGCTGGCAGGAGTACCATTGGGTCGTCGAGCAGCCCGCGATGTTCGTTGAGTTCCTGCTCGCTGGGTTCCGAACAGGGACGCGTCGAAAGGATGATCCTTCAAGGCCTGCCCGTAAGTTTTTTTTCGCTTTTTCTTCTTGGGTAGATAAATAATATTTTATCTTCTTCCAGGACCAAGAAATCATACACGCGTGGCTGTTGGATCTTCAGTACGAAGAATACTTTCCCCTATTCATAGCAGCTGGGTACGACCTTCCAACAATTGGCAGGATGACGCCGGAAGACCTTACGGCGATCGGAATCACCAAACCTAATCATCGGAAGAAGCTCAAGACCGAAATAACGCAACTGAATCTTCCCGACAACCTCCCAGATTACATACCGGTACTTGTTGTTTTACTAACGTCTGCTAAGTTTGTTTTTTATGAATGTTTTTCTTACCACTGTCGTTATTGAAGGGTTCTTTGGAAGAATGGTTGCGATTGTTACGATTAGAAGAATACTTGCCGTGTCTTCTGGATCAGGGATACAATTCCGTGGACGACGTCACCCAGCTGACGTGGGAAGACCTCGAGGACATTGGCATTGTCAAGTTGGGTCACCAGAAGAAGATCATGCTGGCCATCAAAAGGGTCAAGGACATAAGATCGGGGAAAAGGTTTAATTCGATGGACAACAGTCGAGTGCAACAGGTAATTTATTGAATAGAAACGTGTCCATGTCTTATTTGAAATTTTCCAAAGCATGATACGTGTTCTCTCTCATGTCGACTAAGATATTTCAAAAAGATAAACGTAATTCAGTAAAGAAATGTCTTGGTTTGTATTTTACTACATACATACATACATACAGTATTGTTAGGTCTTCCATTTTAGTACTGTATTGTTTTTATTATTCAAAACGAGACTCGTGTAAAGTTATTTGGCTTAAGCTGTGCATGTTTGTGTAAGGATGTGGTGGTGCACGCACCCTTGGGCCCGCCCTCACCTGGCGTCCCCGCAGTCCACACCACGTTCCACTCTTTCCATCAGCCCTGGGAGATCGACCAGACCCGACAACTCTACTCTGGCACACACTACTTGCAACCAATGTATTGCACTGACATTGTTCCCATAAAGGTATATAATAAACAGAAAACGAAAACGCTAAATCAATTCCTACTCATTTTTTTTTTCTCAGAGAGTATTCTTCTTGATAACTTTCGCTTAATTCTGACCTGCATGTTGTATGAATGTTCTGATTACATATTACTAAAAGGAAATGATACAATATTTACTCGTTTGTTAATTATCCCAAGTTCAAAACCTGACTTAGTGGTTGGGTTTTGAGTTTGGGTGAATCTTGTAAACGTCTAATGCTAGAAACATTCCTTTTTAATGATGTTAGTAATCAAAAATGTTGCTCTGAACGTGATTATTGTTTAAACATACCTTCAGAAGATTCACGTGAATTTTGTTGCAGATAAGAACAGGCCGAGGTAAGTCTTTGGAGTCTCTGGAAGATCCCAACGAAAGAACGCATCATACGTTCAGTCCTGACAACACGCAGGTGTTCTATTACCAGCAATTTTCCGGATGGCGACCACGATCCTATGACGATGGAGATATAACACCTACGAACGAAACGTCGTTACTGTATGAAGGTGGGGGTACTCTGCCTCGTCCTCGGGGTGTCATACGTCCCAGGCCAATCGCTAAAATAACAGCTAAAGCAAGAGAATCGTTTCCCGACTTCGAAAAACCTCAATTCAACCCCGAAAAATACACTACTCCTCAATACAAGACTCTAGCACGGGATTTGATTGACACTACGAAATACCACATTCAATATGGTAGTCCAGTGATGAACAAGAAGATACCTCCGAGTCCTCCGAAACGTTTCGACTCATCGTCATCATCCCAGAGTCAGGAGACGACGACGGTCGAAGTCCACCACGTCCAGACGTCAAGTCCCCTGCCCCTCCCGGCGTATCCCAGTTCCGATAGTCTTAGTATTTCTTTGGATAATCAAGGAGAGTTGCCGCTCCCTCCTCCTCCTGCACCTGGCACTCCTCCGGGTTCGTCCTGCCAAGGAAAAATCAATTCCTCAAGGTCTTGGTGCTCGGAAGAACAAGAACTCATTACGTCCTTGGCCTTGCAGCACAGGAACGGTTCCGATGCTAGCTTTAAGGTAAGACATTAAGGGAGCTGTGAAGTTGATATTTCGAAGAAATTGGTAACTTTTTCCTCTCTTGTTTTTAGTCAAGTTCAAGCACAGAGTCGGATTCATTGCCGTTCGCGAATGAAAATGCGGGTACAATAAAGACGAGAGCGGCTGCCAGACCTGCCGAGTGTTCTCCGGCGAAACCGCGCGTCGTGTTGCCACCCCAACAGGGCGTCGGAGTTTCTACCCCTACGAGGCAACATCACCAACAGCAGCAGCAGCAGCAAAAAGCACCACCACCTCAACGCACAGAACCCGCGGACGTCCTTAACGACATCGGTAACATGCTGGCCAATCTGACCGACGAATTGGACGCGATGCTCGAGGAGGAAAAGAGGCTCGAACAGCAGCAACAATAAATACCTATAGACAGATGATGATAAAAAAAGACTGAAGGAAAAGAAGAAAATCGAAAACTGACGAGACAGAAACAGAAAAGAGTAAATAGATAAAGGTAATTGTAATAATACTAATAGTAATAATGATGAATGATAAAAGTAATGGTATTGATAGATATCGCATTTGCTGTGATTTCGACAGACAGGTTTATTATACATTAATATTGTTGGTTTGCATTCCACACATACATACAGAGAACACGTACACTCAATTATATTATTAATAGGGTAATAAGTAATTATTAAAATGATTGGTTGATGCGATAAAGATGACGACTAGTTAGAATCAATCAATCAATCAGTCAGTACATTTTTTTGCATTTACTCTACAAAATGAACCAATATAACTTATAAGTAATAAGTACTATTTACTGTTACAAATAATAAACTTGCTTTTTATACGACGTATTCATCATTACATATGGGATGTCCCACTCTTCGGTTAAGTCCTAAATATTACATTTACACCAATTTTATTAATTAATTTTTACTTATCATCTTTACTTTTTGAGATATTTCGAATTTAGTGATAACAGTTATGGAGTAACCATGTATTATGTTTTGGTTACTGAAGTCTGTTTTTTTTTCCTCAATATTTTGGTTCATTTTGTGGGTCATAGTAGGACTCCTGTTGATCTCTCTCTATTGCTATCTCTCGAATATCAAAAAAGAAAATGGGGAGTATAAACAAATAGGAACATTTTTTTATAAATGTTTTTTTTGTAAATAATAATTAAAATCGCCCCGCCGATAATTAATTAATAATGATCATGTAAAATATAGTCAGGGTAGTTGTTTAGTTTAAATAGATGCAAGAGTTTTAATGATGATACTGACGATGATGAGTCTTTTCTACTTAAAAAAAAAAAAAACTAAAAGAAAGAAGAAGAGGGTAATAGTACTGTATTGTTCGTTTTACAGTAATTTTACAATAATTAATTGTATTTGTATTATTGTATCCTCTCTTCCTTCTTAGTATAGTCCCCTTCGACCCCATTGTTTCCTCAACCCGGTTTGGCATTTTCTCTGTGATCGTTTATAAACTAGAAACGTGAACTACTTTTTGTACAAAATGTGTTAGTATACGGTGCATTTATTATTATTAATTACTAATTAGACAAAATGAGAAAGGAATTACTTTTTGAAGAAAAAACATCAGAATCGATGCGCGTCGTAGCACAACTTTTTATTAATTATTAAATAATTAAACTTCGCTCCTATTTAATAAACACTCGTGTTTAGATAGCTTATCTACCTACCTACAAAAACAGTTTTTTTTTATTAAAAAGCATTCAACAAGGCTTCTAGCTTTAATATTTTCACTAATATTACTCTTACTGCAAATAACTTTTGATAAAAAGCAATATCCATTGCATATTTTCTTGAAATCAATGCAATAATAATATATTATACATAGGAACAAAAAAGGCGTAACTACTTAATTGATTAAAGGTCTTGACTCTTTTTTTCAACTGTTTTTTATTACGTTTTATTTTATTTACTAATTATAAGAGAAATTTTGAAGTGCTTAATTTTCAGGGATTTTTTTTTTAAATTTCAAATCTAGAATTCTGTCTATTAATCAATTCAATGGTGGGTGCCACCGATTGTGGTGCTAATGAACAACGGTTGTTCATTAGTGAAAGAATAGTTTATATCTACATACAATAATAACGTATTATAACAAACGTACTGTTCTGTCCGTTAGCCCTAAACAGGAAGAAAGGTTAAAAGTTTACTTAAGCTTATTCCAGCCGTAGAAGAATTAAAACGTGTATTTTCTTACATAAACAAGTTTTTATAGTTTTTTACAAACAGTCACTTAATCCAACCTTGGTAAGGAATTTAATTGTTTTAATAATATATTAATTAATTTTATATACATAGAAAAGGAGAGCGTTTTTCAGTAATTGTTTTTTTTTTAATCTAGTAGATGTGGAATACATGTTTGGGCTTTTAAAAATTGCAACAAGAAAAAATT